GCAATGGCTCACGCTGGAATGACAGTGGGGCTGGAATAAATAGGCCTGTCACAGTTCCTCAGTGAGCCTCGTCTCTCAAACAATCGCAATCGAGTGAAAATGACACAAAAACAAAACGAACGCCACAATATTGGGATGGTCGAGCTCTTTAAGCACCGCAATTTCACGGATCACCTTGGACGGAACCCCCTCATCTTTAAACTCTTCGCGGATCTTCTTCATGGCCACAAATTTACCGGTCTCGTTGTGAATGCATTTGTAAACGACCCCAAATGTTCCTGGAACAGAACAAATGAACTATCATATTTTCGGGCGAACAAAAACTTTATCAACTTTTGGAGCATACCTCCGCCGAGCTTCTCGATTTTCGTGTATTTCTGCAGAGCATTACCTTCGCCACTAACTTCTAAAATTATCTCAAAACATTATACTGCTATTTTCGCTCCCACAACTTCACAGACCCCACTGGATGGGACTAGGCATCTGCCTATCACAGGCGGATCCAGAACGCCTTCTCGGTGACGAGTGAAGCTTCCAATGGCAACAAGCGAGAGGAGGCAACCGGGGATGCGGAAGATTTTTCCGGCTTTGGCATTGCCGCCTGTGTCGTCAGTGTTGTTAACAGCATTATTTAAAGGAAACACGTTGAATGCCGATAATCCACGCTGCACAAATATCAAGTTACCAGTGACTATAAAGAAATGCGATTTCTGGATGAACTGGATAGGAATAAGGCACTCGAAAACGGGTGGTCTCCTCGCCACACCACGAGTGAAAGTGAGGCTAGCACCGACTGAAAAGTTGCTGTCAATATGGGCCTTTTCATGGAACCATACAACTTTGCCGAAAGCAAGCCCTCCAATGAACTGTGTCCTCAGGGGTGGTGAGAATGGACAAGAATTCTCGAAGAATGCACTGCAAATATTAGCATGCACAGAGAATATGGCTATGCCTTTTCGAGCAGTGCATGGTACACCTATAGGAAATGGACCTTATGACTAATCATGGCAAATCAAGAGAATTTATAAAGTACAAAAGCCATATATCCATCCTCAAGGAATTCTGAGTTTATCGAACAGTGACGTTTGAAGATTTGAAAAAGATTTGAAAATTGAGAATTAAAAATCAAAAACTTCAGGTTACTTACCGGACATCGCAGTTGTTGGCGCTTTTGAGTCTTAAGCTGGCAATACGTGTTCGTTCTGAAACTGCAGTGTCAACCAAAATTATCGCTCGAGGACCGTAAACTATAAGGACAAATACGGCATTTAGAGCTAATCTCCTTCCTCGCGTTCTGAGCCACAAATAAGTCCTTTGGAACCCAGAGTCTAAAGCTTTGCTTTTGTCCTTGCGCTATTGAACAGCCTCATGCCGCACCTAGAGCTATAGGTCACATCGGAAAGGGATCCGGCTTGACTTGTGGTAATGTAAACTAGAACTGTGTATGTTGTGAGAAAAATTGGCACTGAAGACTATATTCAACCCGAATTGTTCTGACCGTTGCTGACCAACCTACTGGTCATTTAACGAGTCACTGGAATCTTCTACCTCGCTTTTTCTCGCCCTTTTTGGGGCAAGAATGGGCCGGAACA